GGCGGGCGGAGGGAGTGCGGTGGTGCGGGGCTGAGTCGATCTGACCCTGTTTCGTTTCCAGCCATGCCCTGTGTTCAGGCTCAGTATGGGTCCTCGCCTCAAGGAGCCAGCCCGGCCTCCCAGAGCTACAGTTACCACTCTTCGGGAGAATACAGCTCCGATTTCTTAACTCCGGAGTTTGTCAAGTTTAGCATGGACCTCACCAACACTGAAATCACTGCCACCACTTCTCTCCCCAGCTTCAGTACCTTTATGGACAACTACAACACAAGCTACGACGTGAAGCCACCTTGCTTGTACCAAATGCCCCTCTCCGGACAGCAGTCCTCCATTAAGGTGGAAGACATTCAGATGCACGGCTACCAGCAGCACAGCCACCTCCCCCCCCAGTCCGAGGAGATGATGTCCCACTCGGGCTCCGTCTACTACAAGCCCTCGTCGCCCCCGACCCCCTCCACACCCGGCTTCCAGGTGCAGCACGGCCCCGTATGGGATGACCCCGGCTCCCTGCACAACTTCCACCCCAACTACGTGGCCACCACGCACATGATCGAGCAGCGCAAAACGCCCGTCTCCCGCCTCTCCCTCTTCTCCTTCAAGCAGTCGCCCCCTGGCACCCCCGTCTCCAGCTGCCAGATGCGCTTCGACGGGCCCCTCCACGTCCCCATGAACCCCGAGCCGGCCGGGGCCCACCACGCCGTGGATGGCCAGGCCTTCGCTGTCCCCAACCCCATCCGCAAGCAGCCCTCCATGGCCTTCCCCGGGCTGACGCTCCGCAGCTGCTCGACAGCCAGGTGCCCTCGCCCCCGTCGCGGGGGTCCCCCTCCAACGAGGGGCTCTGCGCCGTCTGCGGGGACAACGCCGCCTGCCAGCACTATGGCGTCCGCACCTGCGAGGGCTGCAAGGGCTTCTTCAAGGTGAGCGGGCAGGGTGGGGGGCAGCGGGCAGGGCAGCAGGCAGGGCAGTGGGCAGCAGGCAGGGTAGCAGGCAGGACAGTGGGTGGTGGGCAGCACGTAGCTGGCAGGGTGGTGGGCA